CTTTTAGCCAGATCCGAATGTCCCAAGGGTTGATTCTGAGGCAGGAGTGCTGTTTGGGGCATTTGCCATTCTATGAGTCTGCTCACACGACGACTTTTATCAACTCTCCCATGCAGATTTCACAGCATGTGCTCCAGACAACACAAATTCCACAAAATGTTAATAGATGGTTTGAGAACATGGTTAGGTTAGTTGGGGCAAACACTGGATTATAGCACTAAACAGGTTTCTCTTTCTCATCCATGAATCTCTACTAGGAAGACCAAGTCTGTGCAGCTTCTTGACCATACATGGCCAGGAGGTCCTTGTCTTGGGGACCAGCTACGTGGATGTCATGCATTTTAGAACAACAGCTTTAATGAGACACTCCTTCTAAACAGTGTAATGGTCTTCACGCTTTCCCAATGAGGTATGACATGCATGGTTATCACGCCACATGGTTAAGGGCTATTGGAATATCATGCATAGTCAATAACACAAGTTAAAATAATGAATCTTGAGTTTTATATCAAAAAATCTGGCAAGGTTCCCATCTGGGCTACAAAGCTGTAAGGAGGGAGGGTGTTAAGTAATTAGCAGTTCAGTCTTCCTCCTCCCCAGCTCCAAGAATAGAATTCAGTATTATTTTGTCTTCCACGACCATGTATATCTTCACTTCTTCCTACACTCTGGCGGCAGAACAATCCCACAAAATTAGGATATGTTGTTTATCCTCTTTTAATTGGTGATTAGAGTTGGTCAAATGATAGGCTGGAAATAATTTTGTAATTTAAAGATTTATTTTATTTTATTTAAAAGGCACAGTTTACAGAGAGAGAAGGAGACAGAGAGAGAGCTTCCATCTCTTGGTTCACTCCCCAAATGGCAGCAACAGACAAGGCTGGGCTGGTCCAAAGCCAAGAGGCAGGAGCTTTCTCCAGGTCTCTTATGTGGGGCCCAAGGACTTGGGTCATCCTCTACTACTTTCCCAGGCACACTAGCAGGGAGCTGGAACACAAGTGGAGCAGCCAGGACTCGAACTGGCACCCATACTGAATGCCAGTGCCACAGGCAGAGGCTTTACCTGCTACACCTTGATGGCTCCTGTAATTTAAATAATTTAACAACAACAACAAAACTTATAGTGACAACAAATTTAACTACAAAAGTACAGGGTTCTGGGGTGGACACTGTAGCACAGATTAAGCCACCTCTTGCTTACAACCCATATCAGAGTTGGTTCAAGTCCTAGTTACTCTGCTTCAGATCCAGCTTCCTGTTAAGGTACCCGGGAGGCAGCGGATAATGACTACAGTATTTCAGTCCCTGTGACCCACACAGGAGACTCGGATAGAGTTCTGGGCTCCTGGCTTTGGCCTGCTCCAGCCTTGGCTGTTGCAAGCATTTGGGGAGTGAACCAGCAGATGGAAGTGCTCTCTTATACTGCCTTTCAAATAAGTAAATAATTTTTTTTTTTTTAAAAAAAGCAGCACACGGACTGGCACTGTAAGCGTAACGGGTTAAGCCACTACCTACAGTGCTGGCATCCCATGTGGGTGCTGGTTCAAGTCCCAGCTCCTCCACTTCTGATCCAGCTGTCTCCTAATGCACCTGGGAAAGCAGTGGAAAATGACCCAAGTGCTTGGGCCCCTGCACCCACATGGGAGACCTAGAGGAAGCTCCTGCCTCTTGGCTTTGGACTGGCCCAGCTCCAACCACTGTGGCCATTTGGGGAGTGAACCAGCAGATGGAAGCTTTCTCTCATTTCTCCTTCTTTCTCTCTAACTCTTTCAAATAAAATAAATAAATCTAAGAGGAAGAAGAAGAACACAGTTCTAATAGTTTTAGATGAAATATTTTGAAAAGAACTACATCAAACAGAAGCAATGTCAACATCAACCCACAGTTTAGCTAGGGGTGATCTCCATCACTCAGTAATGATAAACACTGGGAAAGGGGAAATAGATACCTGCAAAACAAGTGGCTGAGTCCATTATTCTATAAGAATTCACACATGCAGTTGTAGTGGTCACAAAAGCAGTTTAAAATCGTGTTAAATGGATAATGACCAAGTGGTGGAAGACTAACGTGGCTCCCTCCCACATGGTGAGGATGTGGAGTGTTTGTGTGTAACCGGGAGGTGCGGGGGAGGGCAGCACTGAGTGTTCTGGGTTCTTCCATGCACGGCATCAAAGAAACCAGAGATGAGGAAGGGAGCAGGAGGTTTGGGCAGAGAACGATCAAAAACAGATGTTTGCTTATCGGCTAATGATGCTGTTTAGCATCCAAAATAACATTTCACAGCTAGTGTGCTTTTTAAATTCATTTAAAATTCCATGTTTGAAGATGAGCTTTCTTCTCTGGAGATATGGGAGAGCAAACTGCTGAGCTGATCCTAGGCTTTGAGGAGAACACGACATTGAGTCAGCTCTCAGCGTTCCGATCAATCTGGAACACAGCTATTAACAAAGACAGCGTCCATGACCAGCTCCATAGAACTGGGATCACATTGGCAATTACACTTCCTTAAGAGAAAGGAAACAAGTGAGAAAAAGTTAACCATTGACTCTAAGTGGTGAATGGATCATTAATTACACTATTCTTTATATTTGAAAATCTTCACGGAAAGAACGCTTGAAGAACCTTCTTCCATGAACAGTCTGAGGTCTGCTTCCACCTGTGTTCACCTAATAATCCTAACGCCAAGCCCTTTCTTCAGGCTCCCGTGACCACACAGTCCCCAGCTTCCACCACTTCCCCTCCATGTCCTCTGCTATCTCCACGCCACACCAGGAGTACAGGGATGTGAACACAGGAAAACTAGAATCGGAAACAACCACTGGGGTGGGCACTGTGGGGCAGAGGGTGAAGCCACCCCCTGGGACACCTGCATCCCGTATCGAGCGCCGGGGACCAAGTCGTGCCTCCACTCCCATCCAGCTTCCTGTGGATGCGCATTCTGGGCAGCAGCAAGTGGTAGCTTAAGAACCTGGGCGCTTGCCACCACGTGTGAGATCCCTATGGCATCCCTGGCTCCTGGCTTCAGCTTGGCCCAATCCCCTGCTGCTGCAGGCATTTGGGGAATGAATCAGCAGACAGAAACTCACTCTCTCTTTCTGTCTCTTCCTCTTTCTATGTCACTCTGCCTTTCAAATAAATAAAAAACTTTAAGATGACCCACTGTCATCACATTCTTTTTATGAAATTCCAACTAGCTCAAAGTAAAAGGTTAATATGTTGCAAATTTAATAAACTTTTGATTAATTAAAATGCTTCTGAGTAACTGTTCCAGTTAACTGAATGTTTTAATTAAATCAAGTCCCAAACACATTTAAAAATGTATTAGCAGAGCAGATGTTATGGTGCAGCAGATTAAGCCACCACTTGGAAGCCTGCATCTCATATTTGAGTGCCTGTGATCAAGTCCCACCTCTACCTCTAATCAGCTTCCTTCTAATGAGCACCCTGGGAGGCAGCAGATGTTGGCTCAAGTACTCGAGCCCTTGTCACCCATGTGGGAGACTAGGGTGGAGTTCTGGGCTCTTGGCTTCAGCTTGGCCCAGTCTCTGGCTGTTGCATGCATTGGGGGAAGTGAACTAGTAGATGGAATACCTCTTTCTGTCACTGCCTTTCTAATAAATTAAAACAAATTATTTATCTATTTACTTGAAAAGCAGAGTGACAGAGAGAAAGGAGACACAGAGACAGAGAGATCTTCCATCTGCTGGTTCATTGCCCACATGGCCAGGACCCAGAAGTTTCATTCTGGGTCTCCCATATGGGTCGCAGGGGTCCAAGTACTTGGACCATCTTCCCCTGCTTTCCCAGGTGCATTAGCATGAAACTGGATCAGAAGTGGAGGAATCTGGACTCACATCAGCACTCATACGGGATGCTGATATCACAGGCAGTAGATGAACCTGCTGTGCCACAATGCCAGCCTCTAAATTTTGAAATTTTAAAATACATATTAGCACATATCCCTATTTCATATATACAGCATTCAGAAAATAATTTAGTTTTTATTTTTTTATTCCTACACTTCAACCACCTTCACGTCAGACAACTATGTATACACTGAGTATAGTCAGGTTTGGCTTATCCCACAGATTTAAATGATATAAGGAATGGGCTGAATTCGTTCTGCCTCCAGGACTCGCGGTTATCCACACAAATTTCCACATTAAGTTTATTTGCATTTTTTTTCTAACAATCTCTTTTACACAAAAGGAAGCTTGTGAGGGAAGACCAAGTACTAAGCCTGTGGTTTCTCACAGAAGGGTTCCATAAGGGTACTGAAGCAGAGAGAAGCAAAGAGGCAGCAGAGAGAAGACTCCAGCGCGAGGGCGAAGAATGGGCAAACTCTCCCAGGGCTCCGACCTCCAGACAAGACGCCCCTGGCTTCCAGGAAAGCTCTGGGACGACGGTGCAGCAGGATCAGAGCGAGCAGCTGCTGTGCCCCAAGTGAGAATGCAGAAAGAGCACGTCTCAGAACACGCAGGACCCGCGGAGCCGAGGCTTCCCTCCCCGGTACTCTCTCAGGGGAGCGCCCCTCCAGCTCATCTGTGCCCCAGACTCCTCCTAAAACCCGCTTCACGGGGTGTCTGTCCATAACAGATGAAAGCCAGAGAAGCTTCATTCTGGGTCTCCCACGTGGGTAGCAGGACCATCTTCCCCTGCTCTCCATCCACGTGGCTGGCACCCCGGAAATCTCCTTGAAGGGGCTTTGCAGCTGACCCTCTTTACACCCAGCAAATGCTCATCACTTCCAGGTCTCGCGGCAGACAAGCTTGACTTGGGTTCCAGTCAGCACAGGCAACGCTGTCTTTAACTTGATCCTTTGCTCATTTATGTACAGGTTTCGGGAGCGGATGAAACTGTTACTCTTCATCAACATGTGGGGGTCAATTCACTAATCATCATTAAGCATAAAACCTTATCTATTCCCAAATTATGTCTACTTACCTAAGAGTGTCCCTATTTAGGGGCCAGGTAATTTTTTTTTTTAATTTACCCAGAGATTCCTCTAATTAAAACAAACTTTATTTTGTTGAGCAATCAGGCAAAATCTGCAGATCAAATTAAACAAATTACAATAAAAATGTATTTATAAAGACAATGTTTTTATTTCATCTTACCTAGTTTTTCCTCCCCTGATTAAAAATAAATAAATGAAAAGTCTGAAGGCCTTTTACAAGGGCAATGGGTTAAGTCAGCCCTATTGAGAAGTTCTGGTCTTCACGTGCATAATGAAGGCACTGGCTCCACCAGCGTCTGAAAGTTCGCGTTTGTAGTTTTCTCAAGTTAACAGAGGTCCCAAGTAATATCTGAATGTCAACCATCAGTAAGAGAAATCAAACTTTTGGTTTGGAAATAGTAACAATTTAATAGACAAAACATTGCCACAGTGAATACAAGACTAAAGCACTGCCCTTTGTTCATTCAACAGCATCAAGAATTTTTTGTTGTCACACATTTAAAACTCCTTAAAACCAAACTAGCTTACAGGCCACTAAGGAAAACGACTGGCACGATACACAAAGACACAAACCTAGCACTGCGGACATTATACAAAGACGCAAAACACCAAGTACTCGTGTCCAGAGCTTTCTGGAAGTCTTGTTATATAACTCATCAATTTGTTTGATGCTATATTTCAGATAAAATGAATACTTTTTAAAAAACAATATAAATATATAAATCCAAACCACAAAACATTTCCTAAACATTATATTTACCCAAAGTACAAATGGATTTCTGGAAACTGTGTCCGTAATGCTATCTAAACTAGACTTTATGGAATCATAAATGTATTTAGCTGTATCGTGGGGCTTAAATTCCTTGGACTCCATCCCACATCCACTTGCTCATCACACTTACCTTGGGCTCACATTCTCAAAGTTAATTGCTGTACAATTAAAATCAAACTGCTACTCTAGATATGCATCAACTTCACCTCCATAAGATTGAAAGTGGCCCACTGCAACTACAGCACACAACAAATATTTCATCACAAACAAGGTACAGTAGTCTTAGTAATATCCCCTTCTAAGAGTTACAAATATTTTCATGTTAATAATGCAGACTGTAGGAGCCATAAACCTTTTTTTTTTTTTTCGTAGTTTCTGTGAACATTCTAACTCCCCTGAACCTAAAACCTGCTAAACAATTTCTTCTCATAAATATATACATTCAACTTCTACATCGTGAAGAGACCTATTAACTCCAGCCACATAGGTTTATGTTCTGATGTCAGAACTTGAATCCGTTCCAGGACTGACCCAAAGACAGCAGGGACAGGAGCACACTGAGCTGCACTCTGCCCCTCTGGAAGGGTAATGCAGGCCAGGGGCCCATTGGTGTCCAGACTACAACCACAACACACGGTCTTGCACACAACCCTAACTCACTGTCTTCCAGCAACACGCAGGTGCCCAGCGCTTGGAACCGTGAACCTGAGCAGCTCATTCACTGTTTCTGGGCCCTCCCTGCCAGCATCCCCCCAAAACTGTGATGGGATTCAGTTAACCAAGTCCTCATTGACTTTAAAACGTGATGGGGGAAAAAAAAAGACAATACTCCCGAACTCACAGCCGCTAATGTAAATGGAACCTCATTTGGGGTGAGGAGCGGGCTTACTCAGCAATGTGGTTCCAAAAGAAAAAAACTAAACCAAACTGTTCAAGGAAATGCTCGAAGAAGAGTTCCATGAACTAAAACTGTTCTATGGGAACTTCGTTCTGCTCACTTCTTGTGAGAAGTCAGAGGAAGAGGAAAAACCAACATGGAAGCAGCCGTGTGTCTCCAAGACAAGCGGCCATCTGTGCAGTACAGCGGACGGTGAGGCCAGTTCCTTGGTGCTCTTTCCTCTCTTTAGCAATGTGGAAAAACAGGTACTCAGCTGAAACCACCCCAGGGAACAGGCTGAGTTTCCTGTTGGCACGGGAGGGAACAGGTGTCTCCACGGGAGAGGCAGAGCCCACACACAGCAACAGGGGCCCAGAAAACACTTGAAGCTGCCTCAAGGGGGCTCTCCCAGCAGGAGCACGGAGCAGCTTTCCTCTCCTGTGCACCTGCCATAGGAGACCAGCCTCCCCACCCCGCCCCGGGTGAAATGAGGCATGGACCCATCCCTAACGTCTCCCACAGCACGGCTCCCCACCCCACGTCTGTCTGGAAACACTGCCCTTGCTCTAGGCTACTCTGCATTGTTTTGCCTCTCTGCTAACCCCTGCATACAAGTGAACATTTTTACCTCCAGCATACAGGAAAGGCAATCAAGCCAACATTCTGATGGGACACAGACCACCAACATGGGCTCCAGGGCTTTGTCAAAGGTCCTGGGGCACAAAACGTAAAGAACGGAAGAGAGACTAAATCATGAACTCCCTAGCTTCAAACTCAGCAGCATGTGTCAAGTTTCTGGGTTTTGCATATCAGTTAAGAAGGAGGTGCCATGCAGTCTAGAAATTCATGGCACACGCACTGGCAGAAGCCATACACCATGAGAATGACCAGGCTCGAAGGGACCAGGCTGACAAAGACCACTCCCAGAGTGACTTTCTTGGACACCAGTAGGTAGATCCCCAGAGGCAGGGAGCTGAAGTACAGTAAGCCCAGCAGCCACACCAGCACCCGGATGCATGTCTGGAACAGCAGTGACGTGCAGTTCCACACAGTCCAGTTGTGCGACACAGTGGTGACAGAGTCGAAACTCGCGGGCCTGTAGAACTCCACCACGGGCGTGGAGCTCAGGGACGGGGAGCTCTCTCTCTGCACCTCCATGATGGTTATGACCAGGCAGTTGGAGGACGTGTGCGAGGGGCTGACCAGAGAGGCCAGCCTCTTGGGCGTCAGCAGCAGCTCGGTGGGGTTCTCTGGCAGGCACTTCTTCCCTTTGCCTCCACAAGTCAAGTTCACAAGGATGTTATTGTCGTCTGGCAGGCTGCTCACTTCATCATCCGGCAGGCAGGTCTCAAACCTGCAGAAGGGGCAGACGATGACCCCTTGTGGGGAGTCCCCGAAGTCGATGATCTTGTAGAGGCATTTGGCACAGACCCTGTGACAGCAGCCCAGCACTTTGGGTTTCCTCTGTTTGAGATTGTAGCGGTTGTAACAGATCTTGCACTCCAGCTCGTCCGACACCTGAGACTCAGCAGTGTCCTCGGGCGGCTGGCTGGCCATCTCGGATCCCGGATGCAAACCCCCTAGATGCCTCTGCTTGAGGAACGCCTTCGGTTAAGGGGTCCCTCTGAACAGCCTATCATTTGAATCAGGCAGAGAGGCAGGAAGGCTCAGGAAATGGGGAGAGGAGCCAGAAATCACTGGGCATTTCAGCTTCTTGCGTAGAACTCTCTGTCTCAAATGCAGATTTTAACTGGGCGCATGGAGGGTCTGCAAAGAAAACAAAGAGATTCTAATAGAGTGAGCAGATCTCAGAAAAGGTGTTCCTGAAAAGACTTTCATGGGATTTCCCGAGCTTCACGGATTCAAAGCAATGACAGACAGCAAAGGCTAAATCCCCTCCATCTTTTCACACATTGCCGTCCCCTGGTCAGGAGGGTGTGCTCTGTGGGCTTGGCCGTTTCACTGCACAAGCATGCTGGTGACAAAAGAAGTGAGAGTCCTAATGGGTGCAAGTGCACGGCAGGGCACCTGCTTCAGAGCTGGGGACTTCAGTGCACTGTCTGGATGTGGGAGATGTTCACTCTGCAAGTTGTAATCGACCCTGGCCTCTCTGGAAGAGAACAGGACATGCATCAGAAATAACAGACTGAGTCACAGCACCGCTGGTGTACCAGTTATCCAAATGCCCTCAACACCGCTTAAGGGCACAAAAAAGAAAGACATCTTGGGACTGGCATGGTGGAGTCTGTGATGTCAGCATCCCATATGGGTGCTGGTTTAAGTTCGGGCTGCTCCACTTCCAATTCACCTGCCAATTAGTGTGTCTGGGAAAGCAGGGGAAGATGGCCCAAGTGCTTGGGGCCCTGCCACCCATGTGGGAGACCCAGAGGAGCTCCTGGCTCCTGGCTTTAGCCTGGCCCAGCCCTGGTCATTGCAGCCCTTTGGGAAGTGAAACAGCAGATGGAAGACCTCTCTCACTGTGTGTGTGTGTGTCTCTCTCTCTCTCTCTCTCTCTCTCTCATTGTCTTTGAAATAAATAAATACATCTTTTTTAAAAAAAGAAATCTCAAGGGAAAATGCTAACAATGTGTTTTCCGAGAGTGCTTGGATAGAGGTGAGAGGCTATTTAAGCAAAGCGGGCTGCTCTCACCTTCTCAGTGTAAACACATCAATTACACAAATGACTTTACTGTTTTGACTTCAACTTCAAATTCTTGGTTTCAATACCAGTCTTGTAAACATAGTTGTACATAGTCATTTACTCAAGGAAGAAAGAAGTATATAACACCCAAATAAGCATTATTAGGAAGTCAAGTCTAATTCCTACAAAAGAAAAATAAACACAGACAACATAAGCACAGTTCTATCCCCAGACAGGCATGGCTACCAAGAAATACACATCACCTCCTCACCTACTCTATGAGTATTTCTTTTTGCTTCAAGATTTATTTATTTACACTTACTTATTTGGAAGGCAGAGTGAGAGAGAGACAGAGACAGAGACTATCTGCTAGTTCATTCCCCCAAAAGGTTGGAAGAGTTAGGGCTGGAACAGGCTGAAGTCAGGAGCCTGGGACTCCATCCAGGGCTCTACATGGGCAGCAGGAACCTGAGTACTTGGGTCATCCTCCCCTGCTTTCCCAGGTGCATTAGCACGGAGCTGGACAGGCAGTGGAGCAACAATCAGGATTCCGAGCAGTGCTCCAGCATGGGATGCTGGCACTGCACGAGGCTAGTTTAACCTACTACACCACAATGCTGGCTCCTCTATGAGTATTTCATGTAAGCTCTCTTCCTATAGCAAACACAAAGCACAATACTTGACAGTCCTCTTACTATTAGCAGTATTATCTTACTGGCTTTGGACAAATGGTGGAAGGTTGGACTTCACATGCACACTCAGTTCTCAATTAACAGTACTAACGGAAGGGAGCAGCAATATGGGGACGCTCCAAATCACTCACTTAGCTTGAATAAACATGATATTTTTGGTAGCAGATTTGTCTTAAGTTATGCTTTGCTTAAAAAAAATACCAAAATGTATTTGAATTTCTGAGCACACCCTAAGCAGAAGGCTGTCACAACAGCTCTGAGAAACAGAAAGCAACTGTGCTGGAATTTAAATTTGCTATGGATCATGCTGCATTAGCAGACATGAGGCGGTGAGGAGCTAAACTTGGGCAGTTTTAAGCATCACGAGTAGCTGACTTGTCAATACAGAGTAGCTTCCTTTTTATTTATGACTTTAATTTTTAAATTAACTGCCTATTCTATACAAATGTACAATGGAAATCCGTGGCAAGACGTATAGTTGGTGGCAAAAGGAAGTCAATCAATGGAATCTCTGGAGATGAGCCAAAAAAAAAAAAAATAGGTAAGATTTTTAAAAACAGAGTTTATCAAGGCAGGCATTTGGCACAGGGGTTAAGAGGCCCACACCCCACATCAGAGTGTCTGACTGACATGCCAGCTCCAACCCTGATTCTACTTTCCTTACTAATGCCCACCTTGGGAGGCAGCAGGGATGGCTCAAGTGGGTGGACCCTGCCACTCACGTGAGAAACCTGGATTGAGTTTCCAGCTCCTGGCTTCAGCCTGGCCTGCTGTTATTTCAAAACTGCTATCATGAACCACCTCTATGTATCCAGTCTTACACACAGACAGGGGTATCCAGACACCACCACTAACTCTTCTGTTCTATTTCCACATATTTTTCTCATTCCTGATCCTGATCCTGTGCAGGCTACACATGCCCGTGTTATTGCAAAACGTGGATGTGCTGCCCCCAGCCCCACACAGCTGGTGTTTCTCCTGCTGTGGGATGGCCCTCTGCAGGATGACAGCCAAGGAAGAGCTGGTGGTGCATCCCAGCACCACTCCAGTCCTCGCTGCCTTCACTCGTGGGCCCTAACCCAGGGAAGCTCTTCCGTGACCTGTTTCACAGAGCTGTCACTCCTCCCTGCTGAACACAGTGCTCTTCCAACAGCCTCCCTGGTAGCCACACAGAGGCCAAAGGCACACCCAAATGACACGCGTTATGTTGGCTTTGCAGTGCCTTCCCACTCAGCCATAGGGCTTCCCAAATGCAGGCATGCTGAAGCTAACAGGAAAAGTAGGAATAACCGTAGTGATTACCCCTATCACCAACAAAGGATCAAGGTATGAGTGGGGTTGCGTGAAAAGCAAAAACAAAGCCTGCAAACACACACAGAGGAAGACAGCAAAAATACAGTGAGGACAACTAAGCAAACTGGCACCTATAGGCACAGAAAGCTAGCATAGACATAAACAAATACCAGTAAAAGGTTGCTGTACAAGTGAGAAAATGCCATGGCATCAGCATTTGACAGTCAGCTGTCACACCCATCCTGTCTGTATCATGCTTCCAACAGCTAGTGGAAGAGCAGCAGGAACGCTATGTTGGGCCTGCCACAGTCTCCAGCTGGTAATTCTGTAACCTAAATTATCTGCTTGACAATACGCAGCTATTATTTAAAACAATGCTTTCCTTTGGCACAGAAAATACTCTAGCGCACCTCTGAAAATGATACAGTATAATGTGATATAAAGCTTATGTTTATAAAAAAATCACTGGGGGGGGGGCTTCTTGCTAACACACAGAGAAAATACTAAAACATTCAAATACCCAATCAAAAATTGCCTACTTTAATTCCAAGGCCAACTCTAGCAAACCCGCTTGAAAGACTTCATCAAGTCCCGCCTCTAAGAGAAGCAACTTCAGGGCAGGACCAGATGACAACCCGGAGCTCTGACAGCATCCACGGAAACGCAGCCAGCACAGGAGTTTCTTCCCAGAACAGCAGCAAACAGCAGGGCGATTGTTCTCTCGTGAAATAGGCCACTGACTTCTAGAGTTCTTTTCAAAACCATTCATCTGTCTCATCGTGACTCTAAGGTCCCTCAAAGAACTTGGATAATAACCTAAGGTCTGCAGACGCTCCTTCACTTACAATGGAGTCACCTCTCGATAAACCCATCATCAGCCCAGACTATCCTAAGTGGAAAATGGAAAATGGAATGCACGTGACTCCCACACATCCTGGCTCAACAACACAGAGCAGAGCAGAGTTAGGTGGGGGTTTCCCCTTGGGGCGGTGGGGCTGGATGCCTGGCAGCACTTGCTGCCCTGGCCCAGCATTGCCAGAAAGGATCAGAGCACCTAGAGCTGGCCTGGGAAAAGATCCAAGTGCAAAATTCCAAGTTCAGTTCCTACTGAACGTGCATCTCTTTCATACCTGTGTCAAGTCAGGACATCTTAAGTAAAACCATCATAACTCAGGGACCATCTGTACAGTTTTAAGGGTTACAACTAGTAGGGGTGGTTGGTCCTGTAAAAGACACCCATTCCAGCCCATTCTCCCATTGCCTTTACTCCTGTCAAAAGCTGTGGACCACAATCAAGATGCTGGATGAAAAAAGCCAGACCCAAAAGAGTGCATACTGCATGAGTTCATTAGATAAAGGTCAAGAAGCAAGCAAAACCAAGCTGTAGGGATAAGGGGTGCAAGCTCAGATGGTAGAACTATAGAGTGAAGACAGGAAAGCAACTAGCATAAAATGACAGCAGGTGTCTCGGAGGAGAAGGGGCGGTGTGACAGCGGGCTTGTCACAGGCAGCAGAGGGGCCTCCCACCCTCTCTTTCTTGAGAAGGGCGGTGCCCAGGAGGGCATCTCTCTGTGCTGCACCACAGCACAGGACAGTTTCTGCCCGCCTGTATCTTATATTATTCATTTTTTGGACAGGCAGAGTGGACAGTGAGAGAGAGAGAGAGACAGAGACAGAGAGAAAGGTCTTCCTTTGCCGCTGGCTCACCCTCCATGACGCTGCAGCTGGCGCA